TAACAGGTCCATGTCTTTCTTGTGCTGAGGGCTCCAGAGCTGCAAACAGTTCCAGGGCAGAGCAGAGGGGCAGAATTGCCTCCCTTGCCCTGCTGGCCACACTACTGATGCAGCCCAGGATGTGGTTGGCCTTCCAGGCTGCAAGTGCACATTGCCAACTGATGTTGAGCTCATCAACCAGCACCCCAAGTCCTTCTCCACAGGACTGTTCTCAATCCATTCATCCCCCAGCCTGTATTTGTGCTTGGGATTGCCCTGACCCATGTGCAGGATCTTGCACTTGGCCTTGTTGAACTTCATGAGGTTCACATGGCCCCACTTCTTCAGCTTATCCAAAACCCTCAATTTTTAAAAAAATCTAGTTAGAAACAAAATTCTTAAACACAAACAGCACACATAACATACCAATGGCAAATAAAGGACAATTCTGTGTGTGTGTATGAGAAAGTTCTGTATCAGCAAACCTTTCTTTTTACCATCTGTAGTTGGCAAGGAGACTTTGTCCCATGCTGGCAAGTGATGACATGGTCTCAATAAAACATGACTCTTGTCACCTCCTGGCTGAATCACAGCAGTACAAATTAAGGGGATGCGAAATCATCTGCCTTTATGGCTCTGCTAATACCAGAATGCAGCAAGCCAGCCCCCAAGTTATCAAAAAAAATATCAAAGTGCTCATTTCTTTCCTTGTCTTCAAGGCAATCAATAAATCTTGAAGATTCCCTTAAGGAATTCAATATATTTGTGTCATAATCACAGCGTGTTACTAACCTTTCTTTTTGCCAGAGAAAGCTGGTTCTTCTTATTGTTTAGAGTTGCAGTTCTTGCTTTTAAGAACAAATGTACATAGCACAGCAGACTGAAAGGAACACATTTTAAATAAACAGCACAGATTTCCTTTGGCTTGGAAAGGAAGAAAGATTTATGAACAACAAATTGCAGCTGAGTACCTCCCTGGAAAGTACTACAGTAAGAGGGTTATGAGGGAGATACAAAAAGGCCCTCAACAGAATGAAATTAAATAGATCCAGCAGTGGATCTCCAGGAACTAGTTGTTTTGTCACTGGTGTTAAGGAAGCAGTGCCAATGCCAATTAATAGAGCACTTTTCAGTATAGTAGCTTTGCTTTTACATTTGAAGTTCTGTGAAATTCATTGTTCATTTAGCTCTCATCTTCCTAAGACCTATATTGCAAGTTCTGCAGCTGCAAACTGCTTCAACTTTGAGTGCAATCTACATTTAAGACCTTTGTGCAACTATTAAATCTCAGGATTCAAGAAACAGCTGAATTTACAGACTCTGGAAAGCCCAGTGAAAACAAATAGAGACTTTAGCCTTTTTTGGAATACATTTGCCCCATGTCTGTGTGGATAACCTCTAATGTCATGCTCCTTTGTGGAGTACCATCATGGATACGCTGAACATCATAACAAAATTAATTATCTCTGTGTAAAAAGTAAAGAAAAAGTACTTTTTTTCCCACCTGAAACAAACTGAAAAAAAAGACAACTTCAACAACATAAAAGAATCTCACTTTTCAAAGCTTTCCTTTTATTCTTGTTTCTGGACTCTGACACTCACAGTAATCTAGACCCTCCTGCTCATGTGTACACTGTGTAGTTGACTTTTCAAAGCCATTTTGAGCCAAAGCACACAATCTTACCCAGACAAACATTTTATGCCTGGGCAGTTACACAATCTGGGTAGGGGTAATAGAACCTATTGACAAACTGCGGCCTGGAGCAGTACTTTGCTTAGTGAAACTATGACCACACCTTCTTAAGTAAAAGCAATTATTTACCTGAATGACTGTCTCTCATATTTGGCACTTCATGTCTGTAGTGTGTTCTGATATATAGTTCTAATACATGACACTACACAACATCTGCTTTCTACTAAACAAGGATTGAATGCAAACACAGATGGAAAAATGGCCAACGTAGTAATGACCTGTGTTAAGTGAAAATAACAAATAGCGTATGATCAAGAGGGTAATATAATAATTTATTATTTTGTATCCAGTTTCACTAACTGACAAATGTGAAGTTGTGAGCAACAACTAGGCATAAAGTGAAACTGATGGTACCAAGCTGTGTGGAGTGGCTGACACCCCAAAGGAAAGGGATGCCATCCAGAGGTGCCTTGACAGGCTGGAGAGGTGGGCCAGTGCCAACCTCATGAAGTTCAACAAGGCCAAGAGCAGGGTCCTGCACCTGGGTCAGCACAACCCCAGGCACAAATACAGGCTGGG